CTTGTGGCTGTGTATTGACTGCAGTAAATTCGCTTCCCCTTTTCATTTTAATTAAGGCTTGCTTTATGATAGCCCGGGGTGTTTTTAATGTGCTCCGAAATTATAAAGTTTCGCCAAAGGACAGAGCACAACAAACCGGTTTCGACAAACAAAGGTCTGAAATATATATTTTAATTTAATTATCACTTTTTTCATCTGTCATTTCAATTAGTCAAACTTAAAAAACAGCTTTATTTACAACCTATTTTCGAAACATCTTTTTTTTTAAATATTTTTGATAAAACATTTATCTGCTGCGCTGCGAGCACAGCGACAATCAATCAGCATTATTTTAAATGCAATAAATTTAATGCAAATCTCATCGCTGGCTCTTCATGTAAAATTAAGCCCATGTCATAAGCGTAAAATTCAATTTGGTTTTTACAACATTTGAGCTTGTTTCATTTCGTTTCGTTTGGCTTCGTTTTGTTGTGCACATTTATTTGACAGTTTTGCAACACTCAATCAGCACTTGTTAGAACTTTCAGTCCAGTCGAGTGCTGTAAAATAAACATGAGCTGAGTTTTTCCCAGTATGAAAATGAAATTAAATTTAATAAATGCAGCTAACAAGCGTGAGTGGGCGGGCGCGGGAGAGGAAGGCGATGCGACAGGCAGCATGACATGCACTTCATAAAACTTTGCTCATATAAATTGAAATTGAAATGAAATGAAATGATGATATGTAAAAGACAGAGTTGACAACAGCGCAAGTTCACGCTGAAGTTGTGTGTGTGTGTGTGTGTGTGTGTGTGTGTCTGTGCGAGCGTGTGTTTGTCTGTGTATTGCCCGTGTGCCTATCAAACAGAAGACACAATGCCACTTGCTGTCAGTAAAAAAAAAAAAAAATTGTTGGCTAAACAACAAGTGGACCAGGAAAGGGGGACAACTCCAGGCAGGCTGGGGCCCAGTTTGGGGCACTGCAAAACAACTTAAACTGTCATTGGAAAGTTGTCAAAAAGCGTTTGCTGCTGCGAGGTATTAAGAAAGTTTTTGTTGTGTACAGCTCTCAGAGCAATTACGCAGCTCGCTACCTCGTATTTTTGCAGGAAATAAATTTTGAGTACCATGTGCGGAATTCACCTGAGTGAAACAAAATGTAGCTGCATACTTTTGGGCTGACTGTCTGAGTGGCTGACAAAGCGACGAGCAGCATGTTCGACTCCCTGGCAATGTGCAAAATTCAATTAGCTGGCCTCAAGCGCAACTGGAACGCATTCAAGCAGTTGCCACGTGGCATGCGCTGCAGTTTTAGGAATGCTTTGATAACTCGCACACACACACACACACACAGGCGCATAGAAACAATGTGAGTGCTTATTTGTGTGAGTGTGCGTCTGTGTGTGCTGCATAGCTGCTTCAATTACGCCGAATATGTCACATTAATTATTCGCATTTATGGGGTTTTCGCTGCTTTTGATAGAATACGACGAGGGGCCAGACTGCGGCGACAATGCACCAGAAATTTAAGTCTACTTTATGACAAGGATGTGTTCCTGTTGTTGTTGGTGTCTGTGCTTGACGGTCGGTACGTGTGTGTGTGTGAGCAGCATTAATTGAAATTTGTTTTTGTATGTCAGCTGCACACGAGTTGCTTCGGGAAATCTCTCTGCAGTTTGCATTTTGCGTCAATTAAAAGTTAATTTGACAAAGCGAGACATTTCAAATTAATTTTGGTGTAAACAGCGTTTTAATTCAATTTACATATGATATATAGGTGCCTGAAACCTGCCCAGGTGCATCAGAGTGTGTTCCTGGTTTAGTTTTATTAAATGCGTTCACAGTTAATTAGCCACAGAGTCTTCGACCCATATGAAATATGTAATAATTGCTTGTGTTTGGGATACAGGCTATAATTGTGTACGGTTTGGGTCACAGCTTGCACCAATGCCATGCCTTCAAGATGGGCTCATGAACTTGATTTCCGTCCTGCAAAGTCTAATTAATTTTTGGAGTCCTAAATTTTGCCTTTTGGCTGGCGATCCCTTTAAAGTTTTTAACGCCGAACACAACCAATTGAGAAAAATATAGCTTCCGTTTCTGGCTTAGGCCCGGCTATTTTAATCGAATGCCAGCAATTTGTTGCATACGTATTTAGGCCGTAATTAAAGTAGCCCCTGTCCAATCAGTGCCGTCCGTCAAATGGCCACTTGACGCCCATCGGTGTAAGTGCGTGTGATGCAATTACTTAATGACAGGTTCATGGTGGGGCAGACAGTCTGCACGACCGCCAAGTGGTTAGGCTTAATGTTTGAATTGCCGCCTCAATGCCGACTGCAACAAAGCCACGGGGGCAACAAGGCAATATGCGGCACGCAGCAGGCCACAAACAAACGGGCTCCCGAGCCGTTTTCACGTCAACTTATGCCAGCAGACTGTCAGCAACAGGACTCGGTCAGGGCTGGTATTGCTGCTACTGCAACTGCAACTGCTACTGCTACTGCTTCTGCTACTGCTACTGCTACTTATGCAAATGCTTAGCAGCACGGCTGCCACTTGCCACTTGCTCTTGCCACTTGACGGCCGTTGTTGCTCATGTATAGAAAGTTTGATTACCGCCATCATTGCAGGCACCTAAAGAGTGCCACAGACAAGTGTGGGCGTAGGTTGGTTGGCTGTTTCTCTTTCAAATACCGCCCATCCCCGCTGCCGCTGCTTCAGCCTCTGCTTCTGCTTCTGCCCAGCTGTTATTGTTGTTCGTCCCATTCTTTTGCTACTGCTGCTGTTACCTCCACATTCACCACATTTGCCGCCACATGCATCATCATTTGCATACATTTTCAGTTCGCCAGTCATCCACCCAGCCAGCCAGTCAGTCAGTCAGTCAGTCAACTCTTGCTTGTCCTTTGCCTTCATTACTTGCTTGCACCGTTTACACATTTGATTTGCCACCCGCTGCCGCATGCCACTGTCCCAGCCCCTGTTCGCAGCCCACAGCCGCGTGGCTTGACTCGATTTTCTTTGAATATAATTCGCAGCAGCGAGAAAAAATTGACGTTGATGGATTTTGGCACTTACACAGAAGACTAGCGCCCTGTCACTACGCCAAAAACTTCGTTGCCTGACTGGCTGACTGACTTTGAAGCGCATTTTAATGAAGAATGATATGTTCGCATTGCCATCGCCATCAGACCACATCAGAGCCCATCAGGCCATATCGGGCCACATCAGAGCCCACAACAGCCGCCAGCACGCGGACCACAAAACCACATCAACTGACAGTTTTCGCGGCTTTGAACTTTTCCCTGTCGAAGGGCGACATCGACAAGTTTTTGCTTGTCTTTTTGAGCAACAACAGGGAGAAGAGAAAAAAGTCGAGATCGGCAAATTATTCTTATAGCTGTTTTGTCATCATGTTGTCTGCAAGTTTCTGTAGGCTGAGAAATATATAAAAATGTGATTTTACATAAATTTATTGGCTCATCCTTGTAAAATTTGACAGCAATTCGATTTAGCTGTTAGATAATGATTGGATTATTGCGGAAATAAATAAGCGGCTAAGAATATGCTACATGATAATTTACTTTCTCGGTTTGAGGACTGAGTTAGAAAACGTATTGAGTAGAAACTGAGAACGAGGAATAAGTTGGGCTCCACATTTTTGATTTTGAAAACCGACTCAAATCTAAATAGGATTTTTTTCTTATTTTGCATATACTATGAATCATGTGCAAGCTTGTTATTTTAATGTGGCCCGAAAGCAATATAAAAAGTACAAAAACAAACAAACTGTTGAAAAGTGTCGCTGGTTAGTGCCACGCCCACTGTTTGTTGGCCAGCTGCTCGCTCACAGGCGCTGGCAGCGGCGCCTTTTCATGCATATCAAAATGGCAACAATAAACGGCAACAAAAGAACAACAATAACAAACATTAACATACAACAATAGGCGATGCCGACAGCGGCAGTCAAATGTTGCAAATGTAAGCAAAATAAATGTGTGTGTGTGTGTGTGTATATGTGAATGTGTGCGGACACACACCCGATGTGTGCGTGTGTGTGTGTGCGCGCAAAACCAAAACTTTTGACATAATAAAATGAAATGTTATTGTTAAAAAGTTACTTGCATATTAAAACAAACGCAACTTTTTTCCTAACGTTTTTTTGTTTTTACTTTCTTTGTTGTTTTTTTCTGCTGTGTGAGTGTGTAAAAATATGCACACAAATACACAGAAACACATTCACATAAATGCAAATGGGCAGCGTGTGAGCGTGCAAGCAGCGCCGTGTGGAAAAGCAAACAACTTTAATTGAACTGTTTACCCGATTTTTATTTTATTATGTATGCCAACAATACGAATTCTAGAATTCTGGAAACGCTGCTTGCCAAGCTGTTTAATTATAATGGTTATGTTTGTGATGATTATTTGGCTCGTTGCACAGCTGCTAAAATGTTACCAGGGCCATTCCAGCTGGCTTTTTATCTGACAGCCAGCTAACAAAAGCACGTAAGTGCCCAATCTGGGCCAGTGTGTGTGTGAGTGAGTGTGTTTGTGTGTTTTGCAGCAATGCTGCAACTAGTATCAGCTGCTGCTGAGCGAATAATTTGCTATGATTCGAGTTGCAACCTGAACAAAAGATGCAAGAAATGTGTAGCATACTTTTGAGCGAGCGCAACTTCAATGATATTCATGTACACAAAAGGAAATTTATATTGTGCTTAAGTTTGATTCGTATATATATTTAAAATAACCTAAATAAAAATGAATTTGCTTTTTCCATTTCGTGACCTTTTCCTTAGCTGGGTTATATCTTCAGGAATAAACTTACTTAAACGCACTTGGATATAGCTTATGAGAGTTAAAGTCATATATTGAATTACCACTACATATCAAAATAAACTATTAAAAACGTCAACACAATGAAAACTGGCAAACAACAAATAACGAGCTCAACACGTTACGTATACTTAATATTGAAATAATTATGTTTCAGCACACACTGTGACTGTGGGGCGTACTTACCTTTGCTAGCACCGTCCGGGCCACGCAATATGGTGCACTCCTCTATAGTGCCAAAAGGATGAAATATTTGTCTAACATCATCTTCGGTTTGTTGTTTGCTGAGCATGCCAACGAACAGCTTGCGATCTAAATGCTCTGTTTTGTTTTTGTTTGTTTTTTAATTTTTTTTTTTTTTTTGTTTTGATTTTTTTTGTCGTTGTATCAAAAGAGGCAGCAAAATGGAAGAGTGGCATGTGTGAAAATCAAATTGTAAAAGCCATAGCATTAGAAAGAAGTTGGCCAATAATGCAAATCAAGCGAAAGTTACCGAAAAATGTCAGAAACGTAAACGGAAATAGAAAAAAAGTTAATACCGAAAAAAATCAGGCCATATGAGCGTCATAATATATATGTGACATATATAAAGATGTAAATGCAACAAAGTTACACATTACGCAACAGTTTTGTAACGAGTAACAAACGCAGCAGGCACATTGAATAAAATTTAGTTTAATTTATTGTTATTTTTTTCAAAAATTGTAACGAGCGCAAAATTACCAAACAAATAATTAAAAACAAATATATAAAGTTAAACCGAAGTTATAATCAAAGCAACAACATTTAGTTAACGAAGTTTATTATATTTTGGTTTTGTATTGGTGTTGGTTTTGATTTTGACACCAAAGGAGCAAATACAATTACAACATTTATTAATGTGGAGGGGATTATAAGGAGTTTTTCAATTTCGGAATTGGCAACGTTTTGCAATATGCCAAGGGTTTTGTTTTTTTTTTTTGTTTGTTTTTGTGTTTTGTTGCAAGGGTTGCATTAACAAATTTTGGTTTATTAAATTGAAAAGCAAGAAAATTAAATTTAAAATATAAAATAAACATTGTCAGTATTCCAATTTTGCCAATTTTGATGTTTTTTTTTGTTTTCAATTATTTATATATACGTAAATACATATATAAATGTATATATATATATTTATTTTTTTTTTTATAAAGAGCACGAACAAGTGTTACATAAAAAGGAAAGAAAAGAAGATAAAAATGGGTGATATTTAGTAAAATTGTCGCACTTTTTTTTTTTTTGGTTTTTATGTAACTTACAACTTACAAAATGGAAAATTTCTTATTACAATAAGTATAACAATTAGCTAAATATATATATGTATATGTTTATATGGAGCACTATACGTACACGTACACGCACACGCAGATACATACATACGAACTGACCACACACGACAGAGCTACAAGTTATATAGACATTAAAAGGTAAATAACATATTAGCCACTACTTGGAAAAATATTGTATATTTATAAAACTATATGTATACATAATAAGAATAGCGATTCAGAGGTTTAAACCATAAATATTGGCAGCTTAACGGGTGCGTACATATTGTAATACCTGGCGGGGGTTACTTCTAATTTAATTAACAGAATCTTTGGCTTAGCCTAAAAACTTGACTCGTACATATTGAACAACTAAACTGGTTATCGGCAACAGCATAAAGCGCCTTAGCTAAAAGTCTCAACTGCAAACCAAAAGCGTATCGCACACTTATTTGCAGTTCCAATCCCAAATCCCAACTGGGTCTCATATCGAAAATTGAGCGTTCAATTATTGCCAAAACCCTTGGCACACACACACAGAGAATATCAAGAGATGATTGTGGTAGAGGCAGAGGCAAGCCGAAAGGCAGCTGCTGCTGTTGTCGCGTTAAAGTGGCAAAAGCAATCGAAGTAGAAAATAACTAATACGACACGTTAGCCGGCCGTGCAGACTCAACTGGCCTGCAGGCAATTGTCTTGCCGGGGCGTAAGCCTAATGGCATTTGTGTCCCCAACTGAACCTGCCCCCAACCAAAGCAACTTCCACCTACTCAACTGGGGCTAAGCACGTGCAATAAGCCAAACAACGCCGCTGGCATGCTAAACAACAAAAAGGGGGCCTAAGTGGCAACGATATGGGGCCAAAAGGGTTGCCCACATAAGGTCGAAAGGGGCGAGCTTAATAAAAATGTAAAGCACGTGGAGCACACTCAAAAGGCAACAAGGACTAAAGGTGCAGGTAAAAATAGTGCAGCGCACACACACAAACACACACGCTTACATGCGAAATGGCATAGTTCAACTGGCTGTTAACAGTTGCGGCGCCAAAAAGCAGACAATGTAGAATAAAAAGTGAATAGAAAAGGCAAAAGAAACCACTCGGTCGACAGGACAGGACTCGGTGGAACAGGCCAAAAAGGATTTGCACGATGTTTAGTCGCTGTTGCAGCAATTTTCCACTATTACCCAGTCACAGGTGCTGGCGGCCGCAGGACGATGGCAACATGACGGCATAAAATGCACACAATTTTCAGTGATTCCTTTTTGGCCCGGGCCAAAAGGCCAAGCCGAAGCGAAAGCTAAAGGAAAAGCAAAAGCAGTGAAAATAATATTAAAGGCCATTAGGCTCATATAGACAAGTTAAGTGGCTCTTTTTAGTGTCGCCCGTGCGCCTGCCAGCCCCCTTTTGCTCTGTTTGCTCTCGGCTCTAGCTTACATGTGCGCCATACGAGTGTGTGTTGGCAGTTTTTAGATTTTATTTTATGCCTCGGCTGTTGCCAAGGCAAAAGAAGTCATTAACGTGTCGTTGTCTTTGATGCTCATGCTCGAGCAGGAGCAGCAGCGGCGGCAGCGGCAACAGCAGCAGCAAAACCAAAAAGAAAGCCAAATTAAATTAGTTAACCACATGGCAACTTTTGTCTGCAGGGCGACACAGAGCAGACAGCAGATGGGAGGTTGTCAGAGCTGCATGGAGGTACCACTAATTGTTGCATGTTATGTTTTTGCTTATCTTTGGGGCTGCCCCCGAGCGCAGTCAGCTCGAAATGCGCCCTAGACAAGTAATTGTATTTTAAATGTTAGCCAAAGGTGAAAAGGCCAGCCAGCAATGTCGCGTCTATAAATTATACAAGAAATGGTTAACAAAAGAGCGAGAAAGCAATAAATGAGAATCTGTTGTAGCAAAAGAGTCGCTGACAAAGCTCAAAGCTCATGTGTTTCCTGCTACATTTTTCCCTGATATTTTTTCTTTGCCTTTTTTCACTTTTTTTTTGTTCGTTTATTTTTACAGCTGCCTTTTGGCTGGGCACTTTTGCCAATTGACATGTAAATTGACATTTAATGGTTGCTAATGAGCGTCTGAGGATTAGTTTCTTTCATCCAGGCAACGCGACAAGCCGAGCACTGGCAGGACGCAGTTATTTGCATAGGTGCCACAGGGAATGGGGAATTGAGAGAGAGCTGAGTTTAATGCGAGGATTAGGGACTGTAGCTAATAATGAGCCCCCAGTTATTCTTGATGTATAAAGTATTTGAGGTATAAGCATACATAATACAAATAAAAATAATAATGCCCGCTTTCTTTTTGCTTATTTTGTTACTTTAACTCATAATTGCGTTAGCCACTTAGAGTTATTAATAAATCCAGCTGACATTGCCGCTGACAATATTTTTGCAATTTAAAGCCTTTAACATGGCAAACAAGTTTCTGCAAAATTGTAGCTAATAAATCATTAAGCAAACAAATAAATACTCCATTAATTTTCACAGCTTAGCACACAACGAACGCAAAAACCCCACAGAGGACGTTGCACAAGTAATTTGAAAGCTGCTTCTTGAAATCGCCTGCTAATGCGACCAATTCATATTGAAAACTCTTAATCAGATTATGATGGATGGCTGCCGGAGCAGCTATGCAGACCTCAAATGCAATGTAAATATATTTTAGTTATTAATTATTTTGTGGGCATTTTGAATCGGAAAAGCAAAAGCTGTTTTCCAATTACAAGTTGAGACCGGAGCGAGGACTCGTCCTTAGTTGCGGCTCCAATAACATTTGTTTAGCAAAAATTGATTGAAATATGAGTATGAATAACACAAACACAATATCCCAGCCCACGCTTGTGTCTGTGTACCTGTATCTATATCTGTATCTGCTTTCGTCTATGTTTATTTTGACATAAATTATTGAAATTGTAATTACTTAGGCCAGGAATGGGGAAATGAGCAAAGTCGCATATTAAGTAGTATTTGACAGCGTTTTAATTTTATTCCTGCCGTTTTTTGCTAATGCAAATTTAATTAGTTACGCTGCCCGTAAACATGTTTCTTGGCTTTAGTTTTACATGTGCACTTTATATACCTCTTAAGTGCTTTGATTGATGATGATAGAATTGCATTAACTACGCGTAACGGACTAATTAATATGCAATTCTTTATTATGATTGGTCAGGGCATGGGATTACATTAGCAAAAACAAATACACAAATCGATCTCAAAGTATTCCATAAGAAACGAATCGTCAGTTAGTAACTGGCCCCCAATCAAATCAAAAGATATGATATCTAACTAATGTTTATGTATAGAAATTTGAGCTTAGTTAAGGGATAATTACCGGCTGTCTATCAACATTCCACAGCCACGCCCAGTCGCTGCAGGCGCAGGCATTCTGAAACCATTTTTATGGCTCGCATCAGCACAGTCTGCCTGGCATCCTGGCACTCCAGAATCCTGGCAGGCTGCCTGCCCAGCCGTCGAGGTGTCAGTATTTATACAGCAAATAAGCTAAATTTTTCCTTTATGACTCCCACAACGGGCAAACAGTTGGTGGATGAATGCGAATGCGAGTGCCGGCATCGTCGCCAGACAATTGTGTGGCAATTGTCAAAAGTCTGCCCTGTCAAATGGCAGGAATTGCTATTCCGCACTCCACACTGCACCCTTCCATACCCGAACCACCGTCTAAACTTGGGCTGACGTTTATATATGACTAGTGATAAGTCAGCGTCAGCCAAGACGTTGACACCAAGTGCAAGTGGGGTCCCGGCTATGCGGCCGAAGTTCTCTCTGGCTGTTTCGTGTTTCATTATGCGCTTTGTTGTTGTTATGATGCCATGGAATCCTTTGGGTCTCTTTGGGGCCTTAAAGCGCTCAGTTTATTTGTCAGTTTGAAATTTACAGTAATAAGCCCAAAGTTGAGCATAGGCTAGGGACACGAATGACAACGATGGCGTGCAAATGACATGTAGAGCCGAGAATAGCAACAGCCCGGGCATAAAACATCTTTGCCATGGTCTGGAATGGGTGGGAGGGAGCGGGAGAGGCCTATCAGCTACAGCTGAACTCAGAAGTAAATTAGTTATTAGCGTTGTAAGTAGTTCAAAAGTTCCATAGAGTTTTGACTTTTGTAGAGTTTACAGCATCGGCATTGGCATTGGCATGCCGAAAACGAGCGCTAAAATGCGCCTAATTGTTAATTAGTGTCAGCGTGAATTAGTATTTACATCGTGGCAGCAGACAGTCAAACGGACCGTCAGACAGTTTTGGGGTAGAGGCCGCAAAGCATTTCAATGGACGATTTTTCTCTTTTAGGCGTTTTACATGGCAAGCCGAAGTTTTTGGCTTGGGCGCACAACGGAAATTGTACAAAAGTCAGCACCAGAGATCCGAGAAAGACGCGCCAAAAGTTTGTCTTTAGACTCTCCTCTCTACTCTGTGGTATTGAAGTGTTAATTAATATTGAAAAGGATCAACTTTTGTGTGACTTTGGCTTTGTGTGCAAAGCCAAGCAAATGAAAATTGAAAAGGATTCCATGGAGACTCACAATGATGGGGTTAAGAATACACCAAATTCGAGTTACTCATGAATTTCTTTTAGTTGCGACTTGAGCTGAAAGTGTTTCATAGAAAATACATTGCTACACATAATGTGCAGACTGTAAAAATTGCAAATGCTTTTGCTGTCTGAGAAGAGTCCTTATAAACAAGCTTGGGATACTATTTCTTGAATAATAGCTCAGCTTCATTTTAAAATTATAAATACCATAAGGGCATTCACAGCCTGTCAGATCCCAAAGTTCGCCTTGCAAGGGCATCGGAATTGACTTTCTTTTTGCATTTTTGGACAGGACCCGGCAATAAATATGCAGCAGCGGCAGCTTGCTGGAAAGTGGGCGAATGAATCTGAATGGAGAAGGCAATCTTGACATGCCATTAACATTTCATGTGCACCTTGCCGTTGTCTTTTACCAGCCGCCAAAGGCGATGGCGCTTTGCAGCTGCACCCACAGTCGGAGCTGCAGCCGCAGCCGCAGCCGGCGTTGGCTATCACACTAAAAGTCAATATAAAGTAAAATTTTTTTTATGACCTCTGGATTATCATTTTGCGCTGCAGCTTGACATGAAATTGGCTGCACTGTGGGTAACCAGAAATTGGCTATAAAAGCAAAGAACGACGACCAAAAGGTGCTCGCATCTCTCGCTGTCTTCCCCTCCCCCTCCCCCTACCCGACTCCTCTATCCTGTCGACGTTCTATAAAAAATATAGAAATTTTTATTTTAAGTAGTGACGCGTCAGGGATAATGTTAATGGCACATAGCATTTTCATTTCAAACGCATAAAAGTGTCCAACGTCTGTCCACGGGAAATGTTTAAAAAAGAAGAAGAAGAGGAAGTACAGGAATATGAGAAAAACGAGGGCTGCAAAGCAGTGCAAAAGAAATGTCAACCCACTGCGCCTGGATGACTCTTTGTGGCTGTCGCTTTATGTGCGCAGATTTTCCATTTTTATATATACACATATATTTGTATATAAGTATATGCATATATATAAAAATATAAATGTGTGTACATTTAATAAGGGGAACGCATATCTCTCACGATAAAGTGGAATTTAAAGTTTATGAGCTAGACAGAAGGACTCACAGGACTCGACACACGACGGGTGCCCGTCGCATATGCCGTATGCTTTATAATTATATGGCCGGCATTTTTTTATAGCTCAACGAATGTTATGTGCGCTTTGACCCGGCCAGCCTGAAGGGAAGAAGGGCCGTTGCCCATGAATTGAGCCTTGGATGTGGCTGAAGATTGCTTGTAATAGGCAATAGACGGGCACATAAATTCCAGCAATGAAAACGGCCACAGGAACTGTTATGAAGAAATGGGAGTGCGAGACTTCAAGTGACAAGTCCAGAGTTCTGCACTTAAGAAGTATCTTTCAGTTGCGTTAAGTTATAAATGTTGCTGTGGTTGGGCTACAAACTAAACTTATCGAGTACCTAACGCAGTAAATCAAGCATGTAGTATTATCAGACAAATAGTAATATGTAAATAATACGTATATAAAAAATAATAATATCGTATTCAAAGACTAAGAGGGCATATATAACTTCTTAACTTATCGACTAATTGCTAACATTTATGTCACACATACAACACTTTATTAAATGTATTACATAATATGCTTACGTTTAGAAACTTTGTATACCGCGCTCTGCTGCACTTTTATACTCGGAACGGGTGCTCGGTAGCTCTGTGGAATGCGTGCGGGGTTGCTTTAAACTGGTTTTAGTTTGGGGCTTATTGCGTTGTACTTGGCTATTCAATGACCTGGTATAATTGATATCCCTGTAGTCTTATTGAAATCTTAATTGCTTAAGTCACTAAATACTTTAACACATTAAGAGAATCTACACAGGAGTTCAGGTTAATGTTTGTGTAAAGCTAAAGAAAGCTCTGTCTACATTCAGGCACGCGTTTGCAAACTAAGTTTTTAGTTGTTAGTTTTAATTGATCGCTTCTTAACGAAACTTTGCACTACGCGGCGTATGTGCGATAATCAACAATTATTTGCCCTACAACTGTTTATATAGGCAGATAAGTTCTAAGCCACAATTGTTTGCATCTTACTGTAAGTTCGTGTAACTTTAAGCTTGGAGTCGGCTGTCAGCTTATTTTTTATGTACGTCTGCTAAACGGCTTTTAACTTTTTTAAATTCTCTATATAATAGTATATTGTATTATTGTGTTTGGTTTTTATTGCACATTCCAATCAATGTCGTCAAGAGCATCCATTTCTCAGTATCTCAGCTGCTGTCTTTAGTTCAATGTCTTCATTTCGCGTGCTAAAATTTTCATTTTCGGTTTTATTTTTTCATTTTTTTTTCGTATTTATAAAGTTTTGATGTATTTTGACGTTTGACGAAAAAAGAGAGAAAAAAGAAAGAGAAAAAGAAGGAATAAATAAAATTTTTATAATCTCCGTTGTTGTTGGAAGGTGTAAATGTTGTTGCTTACTTTTAATTTATTTATTTAGAGTTGTTTATGTTTTTAAATTCATTTTGTTTGCACTACGGAAATTGGAGCAACGCAAATTACGCACAACAGAAAATGTTTACGTGTCAATAACAATAACAAATTGCATTTTACTTATTTATTTTGATGTTTCTTTTCTTTTTAATTTCCTAATTTGGGTAAATAAGAAGAGAGCACAACATTGAGCATAAGTTTGCATATGCTGCTAATAAATATATACGTTTTATTGCTTTTTTTTTTTTAGATATTTTGTTTACGCACAACATCAAGGAAACAACAACACTGAGATATAAAAATTTTATTATATTTTAGACACAAAACTTAACAGAAATATTCATGTTAATTAAGTTTTAGCTGCTAGTTAAAATAAAGTCTTAAATGACTGAAGGTCAAAGCATCAAAGTTTGATATTCGGTATAAAAAAAAATTGAATATTTAAAAAACGCACGATATATAAGGAAATACGTATATGCATAATTTAAACGACACGACAACGACACACGGCATATACATAAATAGTATTTATATAAAAATTGTATGCATATTTATGTTTATGGGCTAGAATTTTTGCTAATAACTAGCTAATTTAAAGACTAATATATAGATTTAAATTTAGAAACCATTGTAGAATAAATGTATCAAAATATATTGCATTTTAAAATGATGTCAATAGATTTGCAAATATCAAGATTTTATCTTTGTGAAGACACAAATGTGCTAGGCCTGGGCTGATGAGCCCATAATTAATTGAAAATGTATTGCCTGGCTGAACAAATGCCTCGAATAACGCTCAAATCAATGCAGAAACTTCGTTGGAAGTTTGAAGTGTAAGTTGGAATCAGCTCAACACCTTGACAGCAAATGCCACAAGCAAACAAATGAACCGATGAACGAAATAACAACAGCAACAATAACAACAACCTCAAGTCAGACGTCAATCAAATTGCTAGCCAAGTTGGGAAAATGCTTCAATAAACATGTCTTACATAAAACATTTTAATTAAATTATATTTTATACACTTATGTGTGTAGCTATGCATGTGTGCTTCAATAAGAGAGTGCATGTGTGCGTGTGTGCAATATTTATCAATTTTCCGGGGTGGGGTTGCAAAAACAAGAGTCATCACAATAACCATACATCTTCGTCTAGCACACACACACACACACGCACAAACACTCAAACACGCACACACAAACACTCACACGCATACAGGGAAGTAAACAAAAGTGTTTTAGCGCTCTCAATTCACATCACTCATTTACACGCACACACGAAAGGAGTAAAGAAATAGATGGCATAAAGAAAGAGAGAGAGAGAGAGGTAGAGAAAAAGAGAGAGAAATGCAAAAAGAAAAGAGAAATCGAATTAGCTACTGTGATACTGGCTGAAAAGCATATTTTAGCTTTGGATTAATCTTGAGCACGCCAAAAAATGCGCAAAATAACACTCAATATTCCTGCTGAGGCTGAGTAGTTTATTTATAATTGCATGTTTACCAACACTGAAGAAATATATTGAAAAATAAGAGCTGTGAATTCATATTAATTTATTATTGTCTACTTGCAAAAACTGATCAAAACTATAAGAGAGAAGAGGTGTAAAAGCATATCAAATCTCTACTCAAATCTATTTTATTTGCCTTGCTAAACTGTTTTTTCAAAATTAATCCAATATGCTGCTTTCAGCTGGTGTCGTTATATACGGTTTAGAGAGTAAGAGACAAAGAGAAAGAGATGGAGAGAACGGGGGAACGAGAGAGAAGCCAATGCTCGACTTTAATTTAATTTTTGTGGTGGCTGTTGTTGTTTATTTTGTTTGCTCGTTGCGCGCAATTAATTGAACTTGCAGCACATGCCTCAGACTCTGGTCTCACAGTCTCAGCCTCAGTTGCAGACTATTGACAGACTTCAGGGTCTGCACTATTTGTGGCAGGGGCAGCGCAAAGGCTGTGCCAGGGGCTGGTAGCTTTTTGTGTATTGGTGCGGTTGAGTCGATGAACACTTAAGCCGCACTCAATGCAGCCACAGTTGACGTCGCTCTGCTCGTTTACCCGTTACGCTTTTCGGAATTTAACTAAGACAAACACCACAACGATAACAACAGAGTAACCCAAGCAACAACAAAAACAGCAACAACAACCACAACAACAACTATAATGGAAACAACAACACTAACAAGTTGTGTAGTTTGTTGCCTTTCGTTTTGGATCTACTTTTCTGTTGCAGTTGCTGTTTCTGTTGCTGTATGAGAAACGCTTGCGGGTCTTACATTGGCTTAGCAGCAAACTTGTCTAAGCTAGGGCCAAGCGGGAGGACAGTGCGACGAGGTGGTACGGGGAGGGGCAAAAGACTGCTGGGTTTTTGCAATTACAATTACGCATAGAAGAGAGCAAACGGAAATACAAAGAGTAGGAACAAGTGCCAGAAGTAGAATGCTATGAGCAGTAATTGTAATGGCTGGCAAAGTACGCAAAACATTTAGCAATATAACGGACATTCAGGCACTCGCCCAAAAAGGTATGCTATGAATTTTGTGAGGAATGCGCCAAACGCAAGAGCTACATCTTTAATGTGAGGACCCTATGACAATATAAGTTAAGATTAGGCAATATAAAGCTAGGCTTTAAGCAAGCTTGGGGGAGAATGAGAGACTGAGAAAGACTGATAGAAGTCGCCCTTAAATTTCAAGTCGCAGCATGCCTTAAGAACGCTGCTGACATCTTCGACTTTGTGGTCAAGGCTTCGGCCCATCCCTAGCATGACCTAAGTAGTTGCGAATGCTGCCTCTAAAACATATTGCACAATTACTTGGCACATACTCGCACACACTCAAATAGCTTACAAAATTTATGTTATTGTTTGTCTGGCAGCGGTGTGGCGGTACCAGGACCTGGACTAGGACTACCACTACCTTTTACAGGCAAAGGACTCCCATATTATTTGCACATACACACATATCAAGCTTTTTTGTGCCCCTCACGTGTTTGTTTGTGTGAGAACTGTGCTGCAACATTTTATTTATCGCACTGGCCATAAAATGCACGCTGGGGGCATTTGTAACAATTTTCAGACACACACAACAATGGAAACAGTTCCGCCGTCCGACCGTTCCCCCCGCCCAGTTCGTGGCACACTGTGCAGCCATTCTTAGTCAGGTTAAAATATTACAACATCATGCTTAAAAGTCACGTTTAAACGCTGACGACGTCGGCGCCGAAAGATTATTGCATTTTAGAACCCGCCTGTTAAGCCCCTCTACATCTCTCCCTCTCTTTCTCTCTGTCGCTCTCCTGCGCTCGCTGCACACCTGAGCCGCACACAATCACAAACAAATGTAGTTCATTTCAGTTGCCAAAGTCGACGGCGGCGGCGGCGTCGGCGTCGACGTCTGCGCCTGTCTGTATGCTATGCCAAATAAGTAATAGTGTTGCAACGTGCCTGCCGCATTTTATTTCCCTTTTCAAATAGAAAGAGTGAGAACGAGAGAGAGAGAGAGAGAGAGACTGGATAAAGAGCAGGCAGAGAGTGAAGGGATCTACAGCTGGGTGGCTGATTGTATAATTCGTGAGTTGCGAGTGAAAATTTTATACTCGTATATGCTTGATGCTTGATTGAATTGAATTGATGTGAGTGCCGCCTGTGACTCCTCCGACTGCGATTCAGACTCGATTCAGACAATCCACTCTGTCTCCGTCTCCGTCTCTGCTCGCTTTTGGCTTTTGCGGTTACGAAACCAATTTATTTGGTTTGTGTGCGTGTGGCTGTGTGCGTGTGTGTGCAACGTTGTTATTTATTTTAAACAGGTAACTGGTAAGCCTGTGATGAGCACAGGCAGCGCCAGCTCAGAAATCCTTGAAAGCCAAAAATGATTTCATAAGATGAAAAGCGATTTTTCGCACACACATTTTTGCCGCACCCATCGAAGAGGCAGTGAGCATGTGTCTGTGAGCGTGTGTATGTGTGAATTTCTGTGGATGAGGAAAGAAAGTGTGGGGAAGAACATGTGTAAGCCACAAATATTTTTTTCAGCAGCTTTTTGAGCTGGCAAATTGCAACGAAAGCTAAATTTTAGCTTTAAATTCATTCCAGGATGATGACAATTAAAGCAAAAATTGAGAAATGTATTATAAGTGAGCCAGAGGCAGAAAGAAAGAGAATAAGGGATTCATTCAAAAATATTTGTATATTTTCCTATCAAGTTTCTACAAAAGTTGACAGGATTTAATTTTAAGCTTTAGCCAGAAATTTAAATTGAATTCCATAATTGCTTTTATGGAAAAAATGCTTGTGAAGGGTTGAATTTTTATTTGCAGCTAACGCAGTTAACAGAGAGTTCTCAGAATTGGGAACATCGGTTTTATCAATGTTCCACGTAACTCAATTTAGCTTTAAAAAATATTTCAATATATTTGACGAGTCAAGGTCTCTAGAACGCCCTCGCACTTGACATCGACACACATATACACACACACACACGCACATGCACACATATATAGGCCTTATGTACGGGGCTGAACCGAGTAGCTATGTCTCCGCCTCCCTGGTCCTAGCCCTTGTCGCTGTCTGCATGTCACACGCCGTTGTACCATTGTAAATGGAGTCAAGAAAGCAAAAGTCACTTTTTCAATTTTCAAAATTAAAAAAAAAAAAACATTCTACGCACACACGAGCAAATCACTAAGTTACTGTGTCGCATTGATAAACCCTTATCAAGTGAGTTTTTTTTCACTCTGACTCAGTACACACACACACACACACATACACAGGCACACGCACTGCGAGACACGTTGACACATTGTCATAGGGCTACAAAAAAGTCACTAAACGAAATGCAGAGACCCTTTGTGATGAGGGTG